GTCCTAGCAGCATGTCAAATCCGTCGAGAAAAGTTGCCATCATCCCTATCGGAAAATTGAAGTCAGCTCCACAGCGTACTCTAATCTTTTCCACTCGGTCTTTTATTGCTAACGGGGTCACGTCGACTAGTCGGGCGTTGATCTCCAGTAGACACTTATCAAAGGGTAACTTCATTTTTTTTGCCGTGGCGAGGTTGATCAGCCAAGTTTGGTAGATTGCATGGATCGGTAGCAATACTCGATGTGGGTCATCGGTTACGATGCAATCTACATCATTGTCTTGGCCTATTACACCCGAAACAACGACCTTTGAAAGCTGTAACTGCTAAGTTCGAAGTTGTAACAGCGTGTATAGTGGCACGCTCGATTGGCCCCCGAGTGCCACTTTTGTCATAGGAACCCGCCCTTGAAGAACGAATCCAACCACTATGCAGCCCTCTACGCCTCCATCAAGTATGTAATTTCTCTGACTTGTATTTCTCTGCGCAGATCCGGTCGAAGTCCCCCGATGTATCTGTCGAACTTCTAATCAAGGTGAATATAGCCGACCTGATCGCATAGATTCTTGAAGTTGCTGGTGTAGTCCTGGACATATCCGAGTTGGCCCTACATGCGAAGGCCATCACGCACTTGACTGCTTGCGTTGACGTGTTCGCACGGCGATGAATTCCCGCACACCACGATTGCCACATACTGTACTCGTCCACCTCACAATAACTTCCTGCCCAGTGATTGGTTGTGCGAACACGCCCGATCACGCGCGGCGTCGTATCTGGCTTGTGCGACTGAATTATCTGCTGCCACCAATCCATCGCTGATCCATGTAGGAGTGAAACAACGTATCATATTTTTTGCGCATCGTCGACGACGAGGTTGCAGCCATAAAAAACGTTTAGGTGAATAATCCATCCGCTGATTGACAAGCTGTCACGCTGGCTTGGGTCGAATGTGGGCGGGCTCTGCGTCTAGAGGATTCTTGGCGCCATGTTGACATTCGCACTTTGCAGGCCGGTGACAGGTTGATGTTCGCCCCTTCCCCAACTTCCGTTCATCCAATTACTCCCGGCGGATTGTTCGTCGATCCCTCCGGCAAAGTCGCATGTGGTCGCTGACTGTCGCCAGGTCTTTCGGGACAATGTTGGTCTTAGAGTAGCAAAGTGAATAGAACAAGGCAGCTCAAGGAACATAAAGGGTTGGAGTTGTGCCCTCTAAGAACGCAAACCCATCTAGCCTATAACTTCTACATACTGTATAAGCATATGTATAAGTTAACACACCCCCTAGGCTGGATAAGGGGCAGTGCCTGTCAAGAGACACGCAGCTCAGGGCGGCACTGCTAGTCCAACCTCTTAGGCACAAGTCCAAAGACCAATCAGCAAGAGTACAAACTAAACAACACTTGCCCCATGCCCGATGGACTTGCTAGATGTCGCAACTCCCTCTTAGCAGCCAACCAGTGCTCGGGTCGAAGCGACGCATGAAGACCTAGTGACCAAGGCGGTGGTGCCACAGTAGCGACGGGTGAGTGAGCGACCGACACGAGCAAACCACTTCGACCTGTGTAGATGTAGCCACCTGGGGGGACGCGGCGTCCAGCGTGAACAGGCTAGACACCGAGTCTCAAAATAACGTGGTGAGGTGCCTCGATTGTTGTTGCTGTTGCTGCTGCTGTGGGGCGTCAGCCCCCCCCCCCCCCCCCCCCCCTCCCCCCTCATCTGCACCATCTGCGCTTGCACCACCTCCACCGCCCCCGCCACCCCCGCCGCCCCCACCACTCCTCCCTCCCCCCTTCCCTCCTTTGGGGTAGCGGCCCTTACCCTGACGAGGCTGCGCTGAGGCTGCCGCGGCAGCCTCAGCGGCAGGGGTTGTCTCAGTGACAGCGACAAAAGCGTGAGAGTAAGTGCACTGAGAGGGAGCACAACCCTAATAGATAGGGACCGCCGGAGTACCGCTAGACTGAGCAATAGTGCACTGGCGGTTCTCTATCGCGGACAGTGTGGTGACAAATTTGGTAAGGGTGAGGTCAGCTAGGTAAATACTAAGGAAGGCATCGCGGGCAGTTGCTAAGCGGTCGGGAAGGCGCGTAGTTAGGAAGTTAAGGGTAGGAGGAGTAGACGGCCAACAGGGGCAGAGGAGGGTGTGGAATAGCGAGCAATAACAACGTCTAGGTACTCCTTTGCAGTCACTATGGCGTAAAAGCAAGGACACTCGGACAGGGGGAAAGTGTGATAGATAGCAAGTTGCGCAACTGCGTTACGCGACTCCCAGACAGTGTGGGCGAGCTTAGCTGCTGTGAAGGCCTCACGTTCAGCAAATGTGAGGGCGTCATGAGGAGCAGCTAGCACAGGGGGGCAGGGTAGCTTACCGTCGACATGGACGGCCAGGGACTATCCGTCCTGGCGCTGGCCCTTCAGCTGGCGACGAAGGTCGGAGAGCCATGCCTCAAACTTGACAGCCCAACCCTCCGCGTCCAGGTGGAAAACAGCGTCCGCCATGACGCATAACGGCAATAGCTAGAGAGCTCAAGCCGAGGAGCAGCAGGGGGCAACCAAATGTGGTGGAGGGCGGTGGAGTGCGGTGGAGTGCGGTGGAGGAACCAGGGCCGGCTGTGTGTAAGGGGCCGACGGCAAGCAGGGGTGGCGTAACGAGCTGATGCTGGAGCGGCTAGCTGGGGCGGCGCGACAGACTGGGGGCGCGCGACGAGCTGGTGCTGCGCGGTGAGCTGGTGCCGGCGGCGAGCTAAGGGCCGCACGGCGAGCGAGGGCCGCACGGCGAGACGGGGTCGCGCGGCGAGTTGGGGCCGTTGCGGCAAGCTAGGGCGACGCGGCAGGAGGTGGCCGACTTGGCGGGCTGGGCCAGCGCGGCAGCTAGGGGCACGCGTGGCAGTTAGGGGCCAGCGCGGTACGACGAGCTGGGGGCCGAAGCGGCGCGGCAGGGTAGGGCTAGGGTAGGCGCTACGGGAGGCTAGGGCAGAAGCGCGGGTGGGTGGGACATACCTAGCGTGATACCATCTCAGAGGAGTGAATTGACTAGAAAAAGGCAGCACAAGGAACATGTAGGGTTGGAGTTGTACCCTCTAAGTACACAAACCCATCTAGCCTATAACTTCTACATATTAGCATATGTATAAGTTGACTGTTGGGTTACTCGCTCATGTTGTCCTTGGTTTGTCGTTGGCGCGATCGTGCCGTGTCGTGTCGTGTCTGAGGCCATTTCAGCTCGCAGACGCGCCAACTCCTGCAGATACAACTCGTGAGAGAGATGGACTTCTTCGAGTGTTGCTGCCTTTTCTTCAGGAGTCATGCGTTAAACGACGACGGATCCACCATTTTGCGGAAAGTTTTGGGCGGCTTTCGGCACGCTGACACTGCGAACACTCTCGTGGCAGTAGGTGATTATCGATTAATACTACCAAGACAGCGGAATGTAGTAAGCACAGGGCATCAGCCTCCCTAAGTGTCGGTATTGCAGCGGAACTAGAGCGCAAGGCTGAGGATCGTTGGCTCTGATGGCCATGTGTAATGAAGCGGTAAGAGCGTGTGTCGAATAGTTGAGTAGCGAGGAAAACAATACAACTGAGGCAACAGGAAGCATGGATATATAGCTAGCCTAGACCATACGGTCGTGCCTCGGCAGAGCTGCGACGTGTGGTTCGTAAATTGGCGCGAAGCACCCAGAACTAGGCATGAAACAGCAAGGCGGGCAAAATGTGTTAAATTAAGGTAGCTAGGAAGAGGAAGCCATAGAAATGGCGTGAGGGTTTAGCTAGGAGAAAGTTACGGGAGAAAAGGGGGGACGAGAATAGAAGAGAGAGGCATACAAGGAGGGGGGTTGTACCCTCTACAGTAGATTTCAATAACACCTACCAAGCCCTATTAATTATATAACAAATATATAATTTAACACACCCCCTAGGCTTGGTAGTAGAAGAACCCACACACACCCACACCCCCTAACCTAGCCCCCCATTCCCAGCAGCAGCCGCGAAGACTCCGGAATTGGTCAACTCCCACGGCCCGTGAGATGGCAACGGCGGCAGTGTCGGCAGAGGCGGTAGTGACGACAGTGGCAGCGGCGGCGGCGTGCGGCGGCAACAGGCCAGCGGTGACAGTGGCGGTGGCGGCGGCTTCGACGTCAAAGGCGACTGCAGCGGCCCCCGCCCTCTCGGCGGCATGGCCAATTTCCACGGCGATGGGGAAGGCCCTCACGAGGCAGGCGTCGGCTGTGGCAAGGAAGAGGGGACGTAGGGGAAGGAGGGGGGAGGGGGAGGGGGGGGGGGGGGGGGGGGCGTGGTCCAGAATTACGCCCGTGGCTGGCGGGCGGGCGGCAGGTCTAACGGCGCCACAGGCGTTGTGCGGCCGGCTGCAGCCCGACGACGCCATCACAGAGCGGCGCCGATGCTCCGGCGGGACGTTGACGCTGCGACGGCAGCACGACGGCGCCGTCACGCCGCCATGGCTGGACGTCGACGCCACGACGGCGCGACGCTACGGTAGCGCGTCGAGACGGCCGAGGCACGACGCGGCCAGCGGCACGACGACGCCGCCACAGCAGCACGACGCGGCCGCCATGGCAGCGCGAGAGGGAGAGAAGGAGTGCGCGGTGGAAGCGTGGGGAGCAGGCCCGGGAAGGGGAACCTGGTCTGTTACCATGTTAAACTAAGGTAGCTAGGAAGAGGAAGCCATAGAAATGGCGTGAGGGTTCAGCTAGGAGAAAGTTACGAGAGAAAAGGGGGGACGAGAATCGAAGAGAGAGGCATACAAGGAGGGGGGTTGTACCCTCTACAGTAGGTTTCAATAACACCTACCAAGCCTACCAATTATATAACAAATATATAATTTAACAAAATGCACGCGGCTAGTCAACAGGCCACATTTGGGTACCGCATTGCGATTTGAATTTCATGGCTGAGCTGCGCGGCAACCCCGTTATAACACTGTACGCCTTACTAACTAAAACCCGTGATAAGGAAATACCATTTCCTTATACCGGTACATGGTCACATGAATAAATTGAATTAGTATTGGTGGCTATACATGACAGACAGAAATACATGTAGTACTATGCAAGTTCCTAAGCTAGATCACACGCTTTCCGAACAAGAATACCCCCCTCTCTCCACTCTCTGTCTTCTCCTCAGTTCCTGCTTCCTGCCCTTCAGCGTCACATATGGTATAGTTATGTACAGTAGCAGTTACGTCCTGGGTTGGCTGTTCAGGAAGACCTACAGGCGTCACATGTATACCTTCTATAGACGTAGTGTAGTCATCCGTATTCCCCTCCGTCTCCATCTCCACACTTGAAGATGGGTGTATCGAATTGTGCTGTACAGTAACGTGTGGCAAGCCTGTTTGTGTTGCTCGAAGGTTAGACTCAGCATACTCCTGCTGCTGCTGGATGTTTCCCAACCCACTCTCCTGCTGCTGTTTCTCCCTAAGGTGACTCGCCACCAGATCTTGCGCCCATGCACTCCGAGCCACAATCATCCGTCCCTCCACTTGGATAGCCCCCACCTGACCTAGCATTAAAGGCGCCGAACCAACCACAGGTCCGTCCGGACAGGTCTCCTCCCTTACCAAACCTCCTGTGACCATCGCCGAGCCTGTTGCTGGACCTGCAGCACGCATTGGTCCGGCAGCGTCAGGCGCATGCATATTCAAGGATGAAAAGCCAGACATGGCTTGTGTAACCATCGTGTTTTGTATGAGTGCTGCTGAAGTGGCCGCTGCCCCTCCTTGTGGGTACCTCAGCTGGTGAGAGGGGAAGGTTCCCATGGCTTGTTGCTGGTGCATCAATGGAGCACTCCCCTCTCCCCCGTTGCTGCTGCCGGCGCCTCGTGTGAACGCACGAGCGAGCAGCTGAGCGTGCCAGGAGTCAAACGCAGGCATGGAGAGGCCTGGCAAGGCGGATGCAGCGGCCGCTGCATGCATCGCACTGGGGACGGGAGGTGAGGCAGAGGAGAAATGCACCAGAGCACGCCAGCTCTCTAGGGCGGTTGTGGAGGGGTCTGCCATGGGCGCTGTAGTGGCACGCACTGTGATGGGAACAGGAGGCGATGCGGAGGAGGAATGCAGCATGGCTGTAGGGCCAGAGAAAGGGGACCCGTGCACAGGAGGAGCGGCAGCAACAGCAGCAGCAGCAGCAGCAGAAGCAAAAGCAGCAGTAGCAGTAGCAGTGGTGGGAGCAGCAGTGGGGGTAGGAGGAGGGGTAAGAGCGAGGATGCCTGGAATTAGCTGCTGAGAGGCCTGGAACGATGTCGAGTCTAGTGGCGGAGACGGCATTCGCCTCACCAGGCCCCTGAACTGAGCAGCCACAGCAGTCGGCTTGTTCTGAGGCCCCTGAGCAACCTCAGAACTGACCAGGCCCCTGAATTGAGCAACGGCAGCAGAAGCCGGCACAGGCCAGACGGGACTGTTAGCCCCAAGTGGAGCAGCGGGCGTACTAGCAGCACTTGAAGCAGCAGCATTTATAGCAGCCGCATTTTCACCAGCTGCAGTCATGTGGGCTCCTGGAGTGGCAGGTGATGAGACAGGGGATCTCGGCCACGAGAGGGACTTGAGATCCAACGGTCTATCCAGACTCCGAGAGATATCCTGACCGAAAAGAGGAACAGTGCGGCTTCGGGGCATCATAAGCGTGCCTTTCTTTCCCTCGCTATAATCACCTCCATCTCGGGAAGAAACATCCATAGGAGCACTCGTGACGTCGTCAGCATCATCATCACCCGTGCCACCATCACCACCCACGTTGCCATCACCACCCGCGTTCCCACCACCATCACCACGCATGTGGCCTCCACCACCCCCACCCCCACCGCCACCGTGCCTGCCGATTCTTTGCCTTGGCTCCGCATACATGGGGCCCCAATTGCTGGGAGCACCACCACCACTGGCACCACCCCTGCCACTTCCGCGACCAGCCCCGCTGCCGTGACCCCCCCCACCGCACATGCCGATTGTATACCTCGGCTCCACATCCATGGGGCCCCAATTGCCAGAAGCTCCAGAGGGCGACGCCGGGAATGACTGGCCCACACCAGACTCACTTGCACGGGGAACTGCCAGCCTCGGGGATTTCGTACTCCGATTTCCTGGCCTGGGAGATCGTAACATGAAGTTAGCACCAGCCGTGCCGACACTCCGTCGCTGTGGCTGTGGCTGTGGCTGTGCCTCTGGTTGTGGCTGCAGGTGTTGGTCGGAAGAGGCCAGCCGGGCGCGGAGGTTGCGGGCGATGGCGGCAGCAAGCATCTTGTTGCACGAGTCTTCAAACTCACGCGACGCTGAAACCGTTTTCCTGCGGCTCCCACGAGGCGTGAAAGCGGTGGGAGTAGCTTTCTTCCGTGTAACGGTAGCTTCCTTAACAATAGCGGCTTTCTTCCGCTGTGACGCCGCTGGAAAGCCGCCATGCTGGCCCACACCACTGGGAGTGGGAGTTCTCGAACTACTGGCACTGGTTCGTCTCTCCTTGTCACCGCCACTGCCACTGCCGCTGCCGCTGCCGCTGCCGCTGCCGCTGCCGGTGGCGGTGGCGGTGGCGGTGGCGGTGGCGTGCTGCTCCCGCTTCCTCCTGCTGCGCTCACTGGGGGATTCAACCACAATCGCCGCACCGACTGTGAGCGCTGGGGATGGTGATGGCGTGTCGCCAAGTTGACCTTCAAGTTGGTCATCAACTTGAACAGCAAGGGCTGTAGTGGCGGCGGTCGCCGTAGAGTCGCCAAGTTCGTCGCCCACAGCAGCCGCGTCGCCAATTCTGTCGCCCACCCCGTCGCTCCCACCGTCGTCGCCCACTTCGTCGCCCACGCCGTCGCCGACGCCGCCGCCCGCGCCGCGGTCGCCTGCTCCGCCACTCGCTCCTTCGCGTGGTGTCATTCCGCCGCGGTCGCTCGCTCCTCCGCCGCCGTCCATTCAGCGACGGCCGTTCGTTTCAAACGATTCCCACCCGGCGAAATTCGCCGCCGCGGCAGCGACTCGTCGCCGCGATGCCGTGAGAACGGCGATAAAAAACGTGGGAGGAGGGATTCGCCGGCGTGACCGTTTGAGTCAATATGCAGGGCAGTATTCGCCGGTTTCCACTGACCAGGAGTAAAAAATGCCCGCGGTGCGACAGTGGTCTCGAGAAGTTCTTTTGTAGTATACTTCCGAATCCGCCTTTTCTTCTCTGGAATTGGCAGGCACAGTACGTATAGCTGATTCACTCAGCTCTCTCGATCTTCAAACTCGCAATCTCGATCTCAGACGGCGTCTGGCCGGTATCTCGGAGATATGAACAGGAAACGGGGCGACGCATCCCTTCTCTAACAATTTCGATCAGTTTTCAGTGGAAAGGTCGCAAGCAGTTCAGTCATTCGATTCTTTCGGCTCGAAATCTCAGCTGTCGGGTCATTCATACGCAGGCGCTGTCGCTGACAGAACCCTCGCTGGGTTGGGCTCACAGAGTCACAGACCGACTCTGCCTCGCGATTCGCATGGAGCTTTCTCCCGATTTTTCAAAGATCGGGAGGCAAAATACTAGTTGGCGGCGCGGAGGTTGGTTGGATCCTACAAGTCTGGAGCCTGCGGCGAATCGTAGGAGGAGCAGTTCGGATGCGCAACTGTTGACTCATTATGCGAGGTATTTGTTTTGTACTGTACTGCGGCTTGTACCATTGCATTGCCCGTGGCAGTCACTATTATGGTAGCCACTTGCTAGTCAGAGAGCACAACGACCTTCCGCTCTTCTCGTGCGCGTGCGGGAGAACTAATATTTAGTGGATAAGGTAGAGTCATTTACCCTCGACTTGACCGTTTGGTGCCGATGGGCGTCTCGTCATTTGCATCACCTGCGCCTCGCGTTAGTAGATTCGCACTCAGGAATCGAGTCACTTCCTCGGTGAGGAAAATTGCGTTGACCTTTGGGAATGGAAGGAGTCAGTCAGTTCCGTGGTTAATGCAGCATCTCTTCAGGCCACATGCTGCTGCCCGCGCTGCTCCCTACACCACCGTCAGTGGATACACCATCCCTTCCGTTTCTCTTCCAGCGAAACGGTTTGCATCAACTGCCACTGACTTGTTGTCGCCATATCGAAGCGGCCAGGAGGATGCGATGGAAATGGCACGGGCGTTGCTTACACTACACTTTGGGATGAGGCGGTACTGTACTGTACGTGGTGTTCTGTACTCCTTTTTGAGCTAATCCCAGATTAGCAAGAGGTGCGTTTGACGCAGTGCGTTGGTGCGTGCCAAAAAGCGGTAGGTGCAGCAGTCAGCACAGCACGGGGCAAGGACAGCGCGGCTCGTTCGCATCAAATGTGGGTCGTGACGGATTGGGGGGAAATCCGAGGCGCGATTTTTGACTTGTATGTATCATAATCCGTGGGTGGATGGCAGATTGATTGATTCACGCGATGCGAACACGAGCGTCAGATGCATGTGAATTCGTTCCTTGTTGCCCGTTTGGCAGGAAAAGGCACGGGCGGAAAGACTGTAGACATGCCTGCTTTTGGAATGTGTGGGTCGAATTTACTCAAGGGACAGCGGAGGCAGCATTTTATCCTATGGTGAAAATAATGTACAGTACATAGCATCCCACACATCACTTCTTTGCAGCGCCTATTCGGCACATGTGTACAGTGTCGCAGAACGAAGGAAACGCACGTACACGTACAGTGCGTGTGTGTATCTGATGCTGGCGTAAGCAAGGTAGGATTCCACCTCAGCTGGACGAATCTTGATCAACGACTCGTCAAGAATTCGCGATTTTTCTCCAATCGCGATGCAAGCATGTGAAGTCAGTCTATGTGGAGCATCAAACTGGCAAATTACAAAAGCGGCACATGCTTGCGATTGTGCATCAACTTAGCGCATTTCGCGCTGGCAAAGACTCGTGCCCCTTCGTTCGACCTGCTTGAGCAACCACAACATGCAGCACTCTCGCATCTTGTACAGAACAAGAGTTGAGTGATCGTGTTATGAATGAACAAGCAGAGTAGCGCGGAAATGAATAACGAAGTGTTGAATAAGTGAATGATGATACAAGGAATGGCAAGCCAAGATATAGGAACACCAGAGCTAGTCTGACCATGAGATGTGAAGGTTCGGGAAGGAGATTGAAGGGTCTCGAAGTGACAAAGCAAGGCCCGGAGAACTCTCGAAGGTCGAGCTAGAAGGTCTAGAGAAGCCCAGGCGGTTCTATCAGAAAGGTCCGGAACCGTCCTAAGGCTTCGGGTGTGTTCGAGCATACGCGATAGCAGTACCGCTTGGTAAGGAATGGAAAATTCCTTACACCACCCCCCTCCCCCCCCCCCCCCCCCCCCCTAGCGAAGGGGATGTATATCAGCCACGTGCTTGCGGGCCAAATAATTCGCAGCTATCGAAGGTGACTGTATCTGGTCCGAGGGCACCCACATGTCGTCCTCACTGGTACGATTGGTCCATCGTATCAGAAAGTCAACGTGTCGTTCTTGGCCGTCGATACAAATCCTATGGCTCAAAATCTTTGAAGGCTCGATGGTCGTCTCTGCTGGTGGCCGTACATCAGGGACCAATCGCTGTCGGGCGATGCCCGATGTGTTAGGTACGAAGGGTCGCACCGGGCACACGTGGAACTTGTTGTGAATGCGCCAATCGTCAGGTAGGCGCAACTGGGCGGTCACCGGCGTCACCATCTTCATGATCGTGAATGGGCCACAAAAACGTGGTCGTAATTTCGTCGGTAGTGGCAGCCGTAAGTTCTTGGTGTCCAAAAGGACTAGTTCCCTGCTGCCATTGTAATATCCTGTCGATGTAAATCCGCATACTGTCGAGCAGTAGCGTTCGCCTTGCGAATAATTTCGACAGTTTTGTCTCGGGTAGTCAGTAATTCTTCGACGAACTGCTGCGACCGTGGTACTTGACTCTCAATGTTGGTAGATATAGGTACTGTCAGGTCCATCCCGTAATTGAGGTAAAACGGGGAATGATTAGTCGTAGTTGAGGGCGCGTTATTGTAGAGAATTCCAACATGGGAAGCGTGTCCGGCAGTTTGTCCAAATCAGGTGTTCCATTGTGTGGTTTGTCCTTTCTGTCTGACCGTCCGTTTGGGGATGATAAGAATAGAGAATTGCAAGTGTGTGCCGTACCGAGCCCACGCGTCCTGCCAAAATTTCGACGTGAACTTCGGGTCTCGATCGCTAATGATTGCTGCTGGTATCACGTGTAGGCGAACAACGATCGAGATGAACAATCGCACGGTTTCTTCGGCTGTGATGGTTGTACGACATGGTGCGAAATGCGTCATTTTCGTCAATCTGTCGACGACAACCAATACTGCGTCGTTGTCGCTTGATCCGGTCAGCAGACCTGTGATGAAATCCATCGTCACGTGTTGCCATGGGCGTTGAGGTGGCTCGAGGGGCTGCAACAGTCATGTCGGTCTCTGATGTGATGATTTAATTCGCTGGCAGATCGGACACGTAACGCTGCACGTCCGTCACCATATGTGGCCAGTAATAAAAACTATGCAACGCCTTCAGAGCCTTATAAACCCCAAAATGTCTCGATAAATTCGAATCGTGGACTTCTTGAATTAGTAATTCGCGAAGTAGACGATAACTTGGGACCCAAATTCGATCCGTCCCGCTTCGTAAGTAATAGACGCCTTTTCGAGTAGTGATTTGTAGATGGCCATCATTTACGAAGAAGGGGTCAGTCAAATACCTGTGGGTAAATAGTCCACTCAGTAGCGGGTTGCTCTGGGCGACTAGTATTGCTGCAAGTTGTGCAGACGGACTGGAGAGGGCGTCATCAATATTGTTGACACCCTTTTTGTACGTGATCTTGTACGTAAAGTTGGACTCCATATAGTCCAGCTAGCGTATCTGCTGCGGGTTGAGATTCGGCTGCGCCCTCAGGTACTGTAGGGATTTATGGTCGGTTCGCACCGTCACGTCTGCTCCAGTCAGGTAGCACCTCCAGATTTTGAACGCGTGGACAATCGCCAGCATCTCCTTATCGTGTACTAGGTAGTTGAGCTTAGCATAATACATTTTCCGAGACTCGTACGCGATTGGTTGAAGACCATTGCCAAAATCTTGCATCAGCATTGCTCTGATGGCGATGTCACTTGCGTAGGTGATGACTTTGAAGGGTCGTTCCGGGTGAGAGGTGCGAAGTACGGATGGCGATATCAAAAGAGTTTTTAATGACTCGAAGTAGCTTGCTGCTTCTCCCCCCACTCGTACGAAGTCCCCTTCTGCAGTAGGTCGGTTAGAGGTCCAGATAACCGCGCCATGTTGGGTATAAACCGCCTTACGTAATTTACAGAACTCTGAAATGATTGCAGCTGCGGCATATTTGTTGGCGGTTTCCACTCCTGAATAGCCCAGAGTTTTTTCGGGTCTATTTGAATCCCCTCCGTGGAGATCACGTGCCTCACGAACTCCAGTTCTTGTTTTAAAAACTCGCACTTGGAGCCCTTGGTGATGAGACGATTCTGCTGCAGCCGCTGAAAAGCGCTTCCAAATCCTTTAAATGTTGTTCGCGGGTCTTGTTGTAAATCAGGATGTCATCCAAGTAAATTATCACACATTTTGTCGAGCAGATTGCGTAACACCTCATTCATGGTGAGCTGGAATGTCGAGAGGGCGTTCGTTAATCCAAATGGCATCACCGTGTATTCGTAACTCCCGTGGCGAGTACGAAACACAGTCTTGTGGCAGTCGTCAGCGAAACACCCGAATCTGATGGTAACTGCCACGAAGGTCGATCTTCGAAAATTAACGAGCTCCGCGAAGGTTGTCAATCAGCTCGTTCGTGTGTGGGATGGGGTAGCGCGATTTAATCGTTACCCGATTAAGGGCACGATAGTCCATACACATGCGAAGTCCGCTGTTCTTCTTTAGGGTGAAAAGGATCGGTGCTGTGAACGGGGACGTGCTCGACTGGATAAACCCTTTTGCCAGCAGGTAGTCACGTTGGTTATTGGTGTAGCTCGGGCTGAGTCAGGCGCCATTGAGTTCGTACAGTAGGCTGCGCGCCGGGCTCCGACTCAATTTTGTGGTCTTTGGGTCGTTCGGGTGGCAGGCCACTTGGCAAGTCGTCCGGAAAAATCTCGGGATATTCCTGAATGATTTTTGTGAAGTCATCCGGGACCGAAACGCAGAGTTTGTTGATGTCGATCGCCTCAATCTGCTCCGTTGATTCGGTTAGATGGACGGCATATAAATCCGCTCGATTCTTGACCACTCGATTGAGGCACACAACGTTGACTCGTGTTGAGGTTGTCTCTGCTTCCGGCCACGTGGGTAATTTTCGTCAGCCTTTTTCGCACTTCAATGTGCACTCGCCTGTCGTCCAATGGATCTGCGGATTGAAACTTCGCAGCCAATCGCGTCCCAACAGCACATTGTAGCCATCGAGTGTTCTCACTAGCATCGGCGCGCTAAAGCCAAAATCTTCGCCACACTTCATTCGAACGTCGGGTACTTAGTCGCGTATCGCCAGCGGGGCGCCATCCACCAGTCTCGTATCTATTTCGGACAGACACCGCTCCAACGATAAGGGTAGTCTTCATGCTGTCTCCCGGTTTATCAGGCTGTGACTCGCATCTCCGTCGATGAATATTTTAATTTTTCTTCCATTGAGTCGTCCTTACGCCAGCACAGGGTGGTCCACAGGGTCATCACCCTTATTCAG